AAAAGAAAGAAAAAGAGCTGAAGGTTCGTAAGGGGCACCTCGTACAGGTAAAGAATCGTAGCCCCCCCCACAGAGTACTGAAACGTCAAGCAATAGACCATTAATGGACCGTGGTAATGGCGTTCGGCCAGGTAGCTATAACTAGTTATCAAAAGAGGATTACTTAATACAATAACACGTTTTTTTGATTCTTCTTCATCCCTTCGACTTATTACTTTTGACCAAAGGTGTAAATATATTAATCTATCCAGCTTATCGCTTAAATAATATTTAAAAAATTCTCGCGTGAATTTCACAATTCTCGTTCCGAAGTTTAAATCAAAGCTTCTAGAGCGTAATACAGTACTGTGTTTGAGTTTTTATACGACATAGTATTTTAGGAAAACGGATCGATCTCTTTTCGAGGGTACAGTGATGGCCGTTACAAATGTGCGGAAATCAATTCTTAGAAACAAAACCGTTTCATTTTATACTCGAGGCCTACTCGCGGCAGCAATCTGATTCTAATATTAGAAGTCGGCAGTTCCATCACCTAGCTCTAAAACCCCCTTAATTAATATAAGAGCGACTAGTCTATTACGACTGACGTAAAGGAGAAACAAGTTAAAATGCTATGCTGTATATAAGCTCATAAAAAAGTATTTAAGTATTTTCAGAACCCGCTTGAGACTTGTCCGTTATTATCTTTCTTTTCTATATCCTCAGTATCTATTCATTAAAAGAACTGGTTTTCTATCAATCTATCAATATGATGTTTATCAACAATATAGTCGCCGTAGCTATTCTAGCAGCTTCTGCCGTAACTCCAAGAACTATCACGCTTTGCGACGATCCTGATTTTGTAAATTGCCAATATCCTCCGGCATCAACCGATTTATGCGGTCAGACACCTCTTTTCGACTCTTCAAATCTTTTTTTCCTCTTAAACAAAGCTGACAAGTTTAAAGAGAATCTTCGAATGGGTTCGGATAGAGCCAGCTCTTTAGATACCCTAGGTGCAACATGCGAGTTCTTCGTGTAAGTATTCAATTTAATCCTTTTGAATTATTAAATAGCTAATCTAAAATATCTAGTGATTTCTACTGCTTTCCGCAATCCGGATCTTTCAATTATACCGGCAAAATTGATAAACTCTTCCTTGCCCCCGGACTTGAGCACTTCGACGATACGATCTCCTCTTTCAGATGCAAGTAAAGAGCTGCTCTTAGCTGCATATAGCTTTAGCAAAATTAAGTAGTTACCGGAGTTGCGAAAATGTTGGAAGGGTGGAGAGTGAGGATTGTTATGCATTTCACTTTCTATGCCTGATATGTAGCTACGTACGGTATCAAACGAATCAAATTTGCACACCTCGTACAGGTCAAGAATCGAGCCTCCTTATAGAAATATCTAGAAGCCTTCAAAAAGTAGATACTTTTATATATAGAAGCATAATGCCTGTCAGGAATTTGCGACCAGGAAATAGGGGTAGCCAAGAAGCTCGACCCACCCACCACCACGGGAGTCTATTTTCAACATGGAATTCTATCCACCCCGTGAATACATGTCGGACCCAGTTTAGGCCCATAAATCATAGAGCGGTGCTTTCTGAATGGCCCAAAGCCCTGTCAACTCCATTATACAGACTAGAAGTAAAAGCTGACCTAAATATACTTTTCATGGCTGGATTCTTCTAAGTTGATTGGTTTAAGCCCTGGTAAGATCCCTTGCGAAATTATGCTTTCGACATGTACGTAGTATTCATGGGGGGGGGGGATAGTTGTACGTAGTAATGCCTGATGGTTCAGAGCGGTAAACTTCTACGGAAAGAGTATTGTCTCCCTTGCATCTTGAAATAAATTGACGAAACGGAGGATCATAAGGGATCTACTGACTTCCTGTCTTTCGCAGAATTCCATCAGCATCGTACGCCAGCAGGAGAATCGAGCATATCTGTAGTTCAAAACGGCAGACCCAAGCATTGTGCCCAAGGCGCTCAGAATCCAGGAGCAGATCAAAAATCATGCCTTTTTCTCTTGAAACTTTACTGTATCTCCGTCCCTGCAACTGCTCCATGTACTATGAAAGTATAAATCGGTAACATATTCTCATGCTGTATGTAGATGATATTTTTTCCCCCTTAGGCTTGAAGATACCATTAAGCTGACCCGCAGTCGAAAAGTCTCTGTCGCTTTTGAACTTGGCACGGATCTTGTCAACAAAACTCCGGCGCACCCCGACCTCGGTACCGAATAGATAATTACCCGAATGATCGCGTGTTGTTCCGCCGGGTATCTTGCGATTGCAATCGTGTACTGTGAAAGTGCATGTTGGTGATTCCGGCGGGCTTCCGCGAGTCAAGTGTATGACAGATACATATCTCGAAGTTGATCTCAGCTCTCTTGAGCCGTCCCAGAGCGATGCTAAACTTCAACAGAGTACCAGCTCTTCCAAAACATAGGCGACTAAACTCTTCAACCTGTTTGAAACGTGCGGCCTATACGGCGGTACCGGTAACCTACAAATAGTCCCATCAGCTTCAGCGTGGCTTAGAGGGCCTTCCTTGAGTTCCACCGGAGGGCTATGTAAAGGAGAAAAAGTCTGATCCGATCTCTCAGTCTCGAACTCGGCTTATCGGGAAAATGAAAGGAGGTTGGGATTCGTAGAAATCAGTTCATAATCCCAGATAGAGCAACATAACGTGCTCGACTAGATATTCCAACATTCTTACCTGCAATCGAAGTATCAAACTTGTCTTCGGTCTGTAGACTGCGTGCGAATTGCGCTCCTTCGATAACCTCCTTGCGATGATCCATCCATCCCGCCTTCCATTTTTCGTCCTCGTCGGAGATATGTTTCGATAACAACTGTTCGGCGATGGGGGTCTTCCGGTACGGCCGCCATTTGACAGGCCGGCGCTTGACCAGGTGTGATTCAAAGCTTGTCGGCCCTGTATGTTTTGATTTGTGAGAGAATAGTGAGCAATGGAGAGGGCCATAAGCCTTCCCTTCGTTTTCGACGCGCTGGTTATGTTCGTGCTTCTCGTAGTCAAACTCAGCCATCACTATCTGTGGATTCTGGTGTACGCTCGATAACTTCAGCTTCGCCTCCTCCATCCTCATCGTCTCGTCCAAGTTGCCTAGGTGCGCCCAAATATGCCAGTTTAGTTTTTCCAATAGCCATGATTTCTTTTCGGTTGTGGGGAGAGGCCTTGTCGGCAGCCTTGATGTCGTACTTAAATTTGTGACGGATGGAGGCGGTCGAGGCCTAATCGATGTCAGTTATTTTTATTCCCGGGCTGGGGAGTGCCTTGTCGAAGAAACCAATCATCTAATGGGCGTTGGATAGATTTTGTATCACGCCTTAATGATTCCCGGGCAGAGAAACTTTGAAGTGAGCGATCTCACTAATGTCTGTGTACTGGATCAAGACACTCTAGAAGTACCTAAATCAAGCAGGTTTGGCTTTTTTTCGAAGGATGGGACACTGATTGTAAGGTTTCAAGCGGATGCTGAATGATAACCATAGAATAGATTGTCAAACGAGAAGGACAAACCGCGAGGGTGGTGTGGTAGACAGCGGTGACAGATGTTAAAGATTCTTTTATCATACATTGGACTTACTTCTGCACTGCGTTAAAGTTTTCTAGCAGTAGCTTCTGAAGCTCTGTATCCGTATCCAATATAGCCCAGCTTTTTATGCTTCTCTACAATTTCTCGCAAGCCTCATACACGCGATTTGCATGCTATTACAGACTTGATTGCCTCTGACCGGGATTTCACTGGGCTCAATCCATACGTCGTCGATCCAAGACAGATTCTGCAGATAGCGAGGTTGCTGACGTATCTGATAGTTGTTTCATGGCCTCTTTCAGTATCCCATGGTAGTGCTCGGTCGGCTTGCCGTTGGTATATTTGAGTATCTTGGAGTGCCATCCTCCCTAAAACGTAGCTTGCAGGTTACATTCTCTTTGGACTAAAATCACTGGCTTTCCAAATTCGCTTTAAAATTTAAAAGTCCTGTATCGGTCACCATGTTATTGATGGAGCTCTAGTTGGTAGCCTGTGCTTGCCATGAGGCTGTGGAGCCAGGCCGTAGACTTTGAATGATGCCTACGGTCTGAACCAATCAGTGCTAGAGCACACAGCGACATAATCAACATAGTGGTCACTTGTTATTAATAGTGAGCTGTAACATTAGAGAGGGCTCTGCTTGAGCCCGACCTAGCATGCCCCAATGTTGACAAAGCTATCATAAGGAGATCTTCACAAGGAGATATAGCATACAACTTGCATGTTAGAGGGGCGAGAACTGCTGTTTCTGGCTTTCAAACTACGTATTCACTTAAGCAGAGATCGGAGAGGTTGAGTCGGGTTGGTTGGTGAATTTGATTAGCCTGTGTTTTTGCAAGCTAAGATTTAAGCGAGCTTTGACGCTACTTCGAATTCCATAAAAAGGCACCATCGTCGAGACTGAGTGCACTCGACCTGACAAGACACTACAACTCTTTCTTCGACCACAACAACTCTTCCATCGACTACACACACGTCTAAGAAACAATTGCATCGACCGCACACAGCCCAACAAGCTCACACAACACTCTTCCTCCGACCACACACACGTCCACATACAGCCCGACAAGATCTACAATACTCTTCCTTCAATCACACACACATCCAAGAATCGATTACATCGATCGCATACAACTCGACAAGCTCCACAACACCCATCAACACCTTCACGTTCCCTCCTCCCCCTAAAAGTAAGTAGATCTTTCTCCGACCCAAATATCAATCTGACAGCCTCGCTCGCAGCCTACGAGAGATGCCTCCCAGATCCAGCGCTCGCGTCGCCGGGAAGCGAAAGGCTGAGGATGAGTACCAACCGAATTCACCAGAAGCAGACCGCAAGACCCCTGCGCCAAAGAAGGCTAAGCTCAAGGCTGCAGAGGAAACGGTCGAGGTCACTGATCGCAACACCCCTGCGCCAAAGAAGGCTAAGGGCAAGGCTACGGAGGAACCTGTCGAGACCACTAAGAAAACAAATACCAGATTCAAGAAGACTTCAGCCACAGTCGCTAGTAGCAGCAAGAGCAACGATAAACCCACCACAGCCGCTAGCAACAGCAAGAACAAGGAGAGTTCCGCCACAGCGGCTCGTAAAAGCAAGGGAAAGTCCAAGGAGAAGTCGGCCGCAACCTCGAAGAGCCTCGATATCGAGTCCAAGGAGAGATCTTCCGAGACCACAAACAAGGTCAAATCCAAGGCCACGAAGAAGACCGCACGAGCAACCAACAGACTGGAGGACATTGCCGAGAGTGAGGAGGAGAACACAGACAAAATGGTCGACGCCACCGAGAAACTTCGTCTTGATCGTAAGTAGCGATGGAGCCTATTTCTTATTATTTTCATCTGACCCATCTCCAATCTGCCCCTCTCCACCTCGAACGCGCAATTGCTAATCCCTTCGCATCCTACAGTTGAGGAGGCAAAGCTCTTGAACAAGGAGTTGCAGGCCCAGATCGACAAACTGAAGGAGAAGGCCGAGCTCGAGAAGAGCCTCGTTGCTGCCGGGGTCGCAATGCGTCGCCACTGGTACGATGCGTTTGAAGTGGCTCATGGCAAGCCAGGTAATGCTGATGTGCAAATGGAAGCACTGATGGTATGGGCAGGAGGCAACCTTCAGGCGGACATGGCAATGTTCAAGCTTGGTTACATGAAGCCATCAGAGACCGACCCCAACAATGCCGCCGGCGATGCGGAGATCGACGAGACCTACAAGGCGTACTTCAACCGCTTCTACGCCAACGACTACGATTTCCTGCTCAGCGTCTCCCACGATAACTTCAAGCGCTGGTCTCGAAAGATGGTTGAGCTCTGTAACATGTCTGCCACAATCGCCTTCAATTGTGGCTACGTTGCGGACCAGGATACCGGGGATGAGGAGCTGGAGAGGTTCCGACGGCTGGCGATTGAGTGTGCTCGGGACGAGGAGAGACTTGCCGCGCTGCACCCTGACCCCGAGACGCGCATGGTGGCATACGACGCCTGGCCAACTGTGGAGGAGAAGATGAGGGAGATCACAAAGCTGTACAACAGCATCTGTGCCCGGAAAGCCACGGTTCCATCCGAGTAGCTGCCTCTCTGGCTCTTGGTTGACTCCGGGGCTGAGGCCGGCCGACTAGGACGGGCTCTTTCCTGTTTGAAAAACCAAGAAACGAAGGCAACTGCGGATTTTACTATGGCATTGATCAGTTTGATCATGGGAGGGAGGTACTATTTTTGAGATGGGGGGAGGGGAATGGGTTGTAGGATATTAAAATGAATACGAACTTCCTCCAAATCGCGTGGACCGACGTTCACACACTTGGCATACGGATATCATTGGAGACTGCCAGAAGAAGCGTGAGTTCGCCTTTAGATTCTCAAGCCAGCAAGGACTGTTTCCACAAGCCTCTGCCACATTCGCTGCTTTCCTCTGACATGCGGTGCTTTTTCCCCTCCCCCCACCCCGCCCCTCCTCTCGCACCATCTAAGCACTGTGTTGACATCCCGTTCCTCCCCTTTTCGAGCCACGTAGAGCTCTTGCAGTCAATTCCAACAGAATGCCAAATAAACCGATATACTACAAATATTCAGACGAAAATTTGAGTGCAAATTTCAAAATCCAAACACCCTGGAACAAACCTGAATCGAACCAAGATTCATAAAGCCCATCGCCCCCGCTGTCCTTCGCGCGATTTATTTCTTCAGCTACGTTTCGTTGGAAGCCCTTTTCAGACCACGCAGATCCTGATTACAAGATATGGCATCGAAAGCTGCGCTGCGTAAAGTCTCAAGGTTCTGGCCCATTGAGCACAATAATTTCTTCCTTCCCGATCCTTCTCACTTTATCAACGTCCAGAAAATTCAAGCCAGGGCGCGCAGTCAGTTAATCAACCAACTCCCTCCATATGAATAGGCTACGGCGAAAGCATCTCAAACAATCTAGAGATCTCCCATCCGATAAGTCAATGCATACTAAAGAGTAACAGTCCCCAAACTTCAAATTCCATGGTCCTTGGACGATCAAAACAACACGAATCAAGCGCAGCATTCACACACTCACGCCTCAAATTCAAAAGCCTAAAACCGCGAATGATACACGAGCGGAACTCGATCCCAAGAGCTACGAGTCGAGAACGAGACATCGAAAAGCACAAGCTACCAGGCCACAAAGGAGCCCCTCGTTAAGAAAAAACTGCAAAATACCACCGGGACTGAGGTTTCGAAACACCTGAATGAATCAATCTATCCTCGAAGCCGGTTTCCAGGCTGCGAACAGACGAGACTCTGTTGGCAGATCTGGCCTGTTCGACGTGGGGTACATACACGGAGTCTACTAACAATACCGCTCAGCGGCAGTCTCCCTCGAGGAGGAGAGTTCCACAGCCGGAATAAGGTTTACGAGGCGCTCTTGCGATGTTGGTTTACGTTTCCCGCTTGGTGGTTATATGATGTTGGCGCTTCTGCGGTTCGAGTACGAACATGGTGTCGTTCGCATACGGGAGAGAGTTCTTGAGCTTGTGAGCAGCGACGAATAGATATTCCTCCTTTTATTGTCACCAACGGTGACCCAAGATAAATTCCAGTAGTTGTGGTAATAATGAGTCATCTAGTAGTTGTAATAGTAATGAGTCATCTAGTAGTTGTAATAGTGATGAGTCATCCAATCGTCGTGGTAGTGATAAGTCATCTAATCGTCGTAATAATAATAAGTCATTTAGTAGTTGTGGTAATAATAAGTCATTTAATTACGTAAGACTATTTTATACCGATCTAACAAGATTTCTAAGCAATGCTAAAAGAAATGTCGGCAAATAATTCTAGATTTCGGAAAAGGTCGGCCCGAATTAAATATATCTTATAGCTAAGCTTAATTCAACTACCGCTATCGATTCTGCTATATTAATGCCTTATACTAATACTTACTTTACGTTCGTTACTTAGTACTTACAATTATTCTTGCAACCACTTTTATTATTACAATCATCATTGCTACAACCATCGTTGCAATAACACTTGACTTGCATCATAAAGACTTGAATCTGCTCTTAAGCTCGGTGTGTATTTAAAAATATCTATCAACTTATCACGTCTTTTTAAAATGAAGATCAAAATAAAGTTTTCGCTACTTATAACACTTGCAGATTGAAGACTAAGTCGCAGAAGTCTACGATTAAAGCAAAGCACAATTTGCTTTCGTTTAGCGATAATCAGCTAGCAAAAAAACCTCGAAGTCGACTTCGCCGTGCTCTTATTACAGCTTCGCCGTTACGCGCTTCCTTTCGAAAGCTATTACCTTTACCTCGATATTCCTCGTCGAAACCTAGCTATTTACATCTTAACTTATCTACTTCACGCAAATATCTTTAGTTCGCATCTTCTCTTTCGTTACGGCCTTCTTTATTACGAAGATCTAATCGTTTTAATATCTTTTTATCACTTTCGTTACAACGCTATACAAGACGGTTTTTATAAGGTGCTAATAGTAGTAAAAATACTCTTAAATATAATAAAAGTACACGCGGGCAAACGGCTTTAAGTAGCATAGGTAAATACTTCTAGTCAAGTTATTAAAGTTACTAAGGTTACTAGAGTTGCTAGGGTTATTAGAGTTACCAAGATTATTAAAGTTATTAAAGTTACCAAGGTCTTTATTCTACGGTCCAACGCCTTTAAGATTCCGGTTTCGATGAAAATACTTTTAATAGAAACACTTTTAAATACAATAAAAGTATAC